GGTCCAACCTCTGGCCTCACAGCTCTTGGATACAGCAGATTCCTATACAGACTAGCGCTACCCATCCCTGAGGGCACCGGCCGCAGGGGCAGGACCCCGGAAGGCACCCTCACCTCTCAGCAGGTAGATGGCGCTGTACCTCCTCACAGAGAAGCGGATCATCAGGCCCTTCTTGCCACAGGAGACCAGGGGCCGGATGCTGGAGCTCTGCCTGGCCTGGGGCTGCTGCTGTTGTGGCTCTCGGTCGTGCAGACCAGCCCCCACAGCACCTCCGCTGGGACCATCCCGAGCTCCTGGAAGAGAGAGCCGGCACTGGGAGGGGGGCTTGAGAGCACAGCAGGACCACCGACAGGGCCGGATTGTGGTGTTCATGGGCCCTAGGCACTTTCACTCAAATGTGCAAGAAGAGGGGTCACTTGTTGACATGATGCCCTTTAAACCATCCTAATACTAGACCACAGGACGGATTGAGCAAGTCAAGGAACCATCACCTCTAGTTTCTAGAACAGCCACTAGAGAGCACATGATTGATTTGTAGCACCTCAAGTCAATCACAAGCATGTTCTTTCAGCTCATTCCCCCCTTCATAAACCCCAAGAAGGTCATAGGCCCTGGGCACTGTGCCCACACTGCCTGATGGGAAACCCAGCACTGACCACAGAGAGGAGGCAAGACCTCTGGGTTCCTGGAATAGGTTACCATTACCAGGACAGAAGCTTATCTGTATCAAGAGTGTTAACCCCCCCTCTGCCATTAGTTTCTGCTGTTACCCACCCTCTAACCATCAAGAGTCTCTCCAGACTCATAGAACAGCCCCATTTATGAGGCTAAGTGGGCAACTGCCCTTAATGTCCCCACCAACCCAACCCCAAAATAAATCAGGAACCCTACCAGCACCCTGAGCCACAGAGCCACCCAACTGGGCATTTCCAGCACCCAGGGGATTAACCACCTCTTCCTTAGCTCCATCCTTGTGGGCAGCTGTGTCCTCCTGACCCAGCCCAGCTCCAACACCCAACCTCTCCTCCAAGCCAGAAAGCCTTCCTGTCTCAGACAGGGACTCTGCTGTTCCAGTCAGGCCCCTCTCCAAGTCCCCCTCAGCATCCTCACCTCTGAGCTGATTTCTATAGTAACCTCCCCTGGGGAGACTACCCAGGTCAGACTCAACCCCCTCAGCCTCAAAGAGGGGCTTTCTATCCCATCTCTGGGCAAACACTAAGCCAACAAAGAGGCCCAATATCAGCAGCTGCTCTACTCTCAGTCTACACACCATGGCTGCAGAGAAAGACTGACTCCTAGCCCCACCACCAGGGCTTATATACCCCCGCCCTGAGCACGCCAGCCAATCAGGAGAGGAGGAGGTGGTCAGAGTGGGGAAAGAGGGCGGAGACTGAGCTCAGGTGAGACAGCAGTGAGAACAAGTCCTGGGCCAGCGAGTTCACACACCACTGGGACTCCCTTTCAATCTGCTTCTGCTGCGTCAAGATCAATCACATTTATTTCACTGCCTTCCTGCTAATTTTCCACGGCTCCTCTCGTTAGGAAACAGCACAAACGCTAGAAGTTTGTCATTTGTACCAGAAAGAAAAATATAACATTGAATAAAACATTACTTTTTTTTTTCTTTTATGGACAGACGTTTTATTTATTATCTTTCATTGCTATTTGCTTCCTTTTGCGACACAAAATACATTTTTCACGGCCAGGAGAGATATCGTCAAATTTGCTTGAGGGAAGTTACTGTGATTAATTAACTCTTAATGGATGTTTGTCCTCGGAGGAATGGAAGAGGGGGTAGAGCTCGATTCAGGGAGCTGAACTCTCAGAGCTGGTTGGAATTCGGCCAGAATGAATCAGCTGTGTGCTATTCCTGAAACACAGGCACTAATCAGTGGGTGAGAACCCTGTCCATCAGCTTTTATAGTGAAAATCAGATCAAGTCTGATGCAGAGGGTTGATTCATTAAAGGGGTGACTTGGTGATTTTCCCAGATCGTTTGTCAGCACAGAGCCCCTCAGACCTCGAGGACCCCAGGTCTCTTAATTGAACAGATAAACTGGTTAATTGGTTAAGAGATCTACAGGTGATCCCAGCCTTCAGAAACTCCAGCTCACATTCTGGAAAGAACTCTGAATATACTTGTCAATGTGACAATCTCACATCTCCAGCCTGGGGTGTAATGATAACTGAAGCCTCCCCTTTTACGACAGCTGCACGTGTTTTATATTCCAACTTGCTGCCCATTTTCTGTCTCCTTAGCTTCCAATAGTGCCCATTAGAATAACTCAGGAATGTTCTGGTGTCAGCTCAAGGGTACAGCAGCCATATCCTACCCAGGACGTGGGCCTACAGCCTTTCAGTTCAGAGTCCGGCGTCCTACATCCGCGCCACACTGTCATCTCATCAGCTCCCTGCCTGGGTCGCTCGTCAATGCCAATTGAAACACCTGCGCCCCTCTTTCAATTAGAGGCTCAGTTTGGAGGTGCGCACAGTCTGAGGGGAAAGCCTAGCGAAACGTTTGTGCAAGGT